ATTATTTACACTGAAAAAGGTGTAGTAATAGCTAAAAACGTTTATATAAATTTATTTATATCTTTGAAACGTTTTTGTTAGCACGGACAACCGGTATTGACTCTTTAACTTCTTTAAACTTTCTTAATAAAGAAAGGAAAATAATTTGATGTATTATTTACGAGACGAATTGCTCTGCATAGCATCCGCTTTCGTGGTCGAACATAAACTCAATAAGATGGAAACACAACCCATCGCGTATATATATATGTATCGTCTCGTGTTTTTCAAATGTTTTGAGTGAGAGAACGGAAAGGACGCACGATACAGATACGTATCGCGCGTCCTTCTCGTCTTTCTCACTCAAAACATTTGAAAAACACGAGACGATCGCGGATTCTCAGCTATTATATCCTCGAAGTCGAATCACTCAGTGAGCCGCATCTGTAGACGAAGGTGTATATAATTTTCATCAGCTAAGAACACTTTCCTTGCCTTACTGTGAATAAAGTTAAGGGAAGTTAAGCTGAAGCAGACTGTGAGTTTCTTATATCTATATATTTTATTATCTTTTGGTCTTGAAATCTATATATATTTTAATATTTCAAGAAAATAAATATAATTGAAATGTGCGAGCCATTAACAAAAAAGTGTAAGCGAAGAAGCTTGGCTTCGTAGAAGCTTGGCTTGATGATGATCAATATAAGTCTTGGATACGGAAAGTTCGGTCTAATAATAATTTTTTTCATTGTACAATATGTAATAAAGATTTTTCTTGTTACTTCCACCATGGTGAGCACAATAAAGGAAGTCATACGAGTAAGCAGAATCACAATCAGAGCGTAAGCGTTAAGCATATCCCAAACCTCGTTGATTTTAACAAAACAAATAGAAAGGAATTATTACAATTATTACAAATGCAATAAATCAATAATATCCATTAACGCTACCAATTAACTCACAGACTGACACAGACTTATAAATAATACATAGACTGGCCCCTGCCGTAAAAGGCGGTTTTCGATATGAACTGTGACGTTGCACCGTGTGCACGTCACAGTCTTCCTCATTCCCATCTTTGTATTGCGCGCGTACTGCCGAGTTTATAGTTTTCAGGAAGAAGCGGCCGGAGGGCCCGTTTCGACAGTGTGGCGCCATCCGCCGGTGCGGTGAAGCGCCCTGATCTAGAGGGCCGCGAGTCGAAGCCGCGGAAACGATCCCGGCACTGTTGGGTCGATCGCGAGCATGGTGTAAGGATTACATGGTGTGCTCAATTGCCTGGGGGGATTCGGGTAATGACGTCACTCGTGTCGAATTGTGTAAACAGAGTAGCCAACGTCTAGAAGTAAAACATTTTTGGTGTTGTAATATTGGCACATGTTCATGCATCGTCACACTCATGCCGCTTATGCCACTCAGAAGTACGGTACATTGTTTTGTGTTAAACAGTGGGTCTGTTTGCGTTGCGACAATATATAAATTTAAAATAAAAATGGTGCGGTGTATTGTTAAAAGTTGTAGGAATAAAACAACGGGGGTTTGTGAGGAAACTGTGAATTTTTTTCCGCTACCGAAAAATGAAGTGATGCGGGAAGGATGGCTGAAAAAAAAGGAGGCTATGTTTTACCACCAAAAGTTGAATTTGGTAAGTTTGATATTGTACATAAACGTGCAAAAGTATATTAATTGAAAAATAAAATGAATAAAAAATAATATTTTTTAGTTACTAACATAACCTCAAATTTTGTATTTACAAATGGAGTAAAAATGTCATAAAATGTTATTAATATGAACAGAAAATAATAAAAACAAATTAGCACTTCGTTCATGTATATAAGTAAAAATATTTTACAATTCAAAATATGAAAATCTTTAATTTGAAATAAAAATTATAAAGCCATATTTAATACAATGTATTAAGTTTTATTATTTATACATTATATTATTTTCAGCAAGGATATGCTCGGTTCATTTTAGTCAAGAGTCCTTTCATCAAGGTCGAGCACGGAAAGACCCTGTTAAGAAACGTCACCTACTACCATCGGCTGTGCCAACGTTATTTTTGAATTGTTCAGAAGCTCCAAATGTAAACAAGTAAGTATATAAAAACACATACACATTTGTATTTGTAATGTGGTGTTATGTAATTATATAAATGTACTTTTTCACAAGGAATGCGGTGGCTGAGTACAAAGATTCCTTACCTGATGAAGTTTTATTGTGTCTGGTGAGAACACGTACGTACATACAAATAAAAGAAAATGCCAAAAAATCGTATGTAAACAGAGAGAGAAGAAAGAAGGAGAAGAAAATGAAGAAACTAGTGTCGTAAATTAAACTAATGTTGTCATTGCACGAGTATAATGTATATGTAATGTATAATGTAATGTGTATAATGTAATGTATATATAATCATACTCTTTCTGCAAATCTATATATATATATATATATATATATATATATATATATACATACAACGGAATAATATTTAATTAATAGCAAGTTTGTTTGTGTCTAAAATGTACTTACCTGCGTACTCTAACATTACTGAAAGAATGTGTCAAAATTATATTTATATAAACTTAATATTAAATTTCTTGTTATTAAACATTTTCAACTACCTTTTTTCAGAAGAAAAGTCCAATTACAAATAAAAGTTGTTATACTAATTATTTTTGCTTCTTTGCATTTCTTTTCACAAACATTAATCACTTCTCTCTCTTCAAAAATATCAGTAATAATATTTTAAATGTAAAAGGTGTGACAAATTTTTTTCCAAAGATCTGATTTTCGTGTATCGACTTTCCTTTTAAGCGGTTTATTAATGTACCATCTTGTGTTGTAAACAATTAATTTTAAATAGGTACAATTATTGAAACAGAAATTAGAAATGTAATCAAGAATAATGAATAAAAAAAATACATGAAATTGGAATAATTAATAAATTATATTAAATTTCAATAATTTAATTTTTCGTTGATTATGTATACCTATAATCAGTTATATTATACTTCGCCAATACATATTTTTAAACGCCAATTTCATATAAAATTAATAATTGTTATGTTACTTTTACGAGCAACAAATAATTAATAAAAAAAAAACAATTGATTCGAACGTATGACCCCTGCATTCAAAAGTTATCGCCACATCCTTTGAGCCAGTAAGATACTAGAGTGCTTTTATACTTAATATATACATTATCATCGGGCAGAAAGTTAGGCTTTATTCATGCCATTAATCGATGACAATAATTCTGTCTTTTTGCGTTAATTCATTCAAAACCAGCAAAGGAAAAAATAGAAGCATTAAAACATTCGAAAAAAGGAAGTATTGCAATTTTAATACTATTACATTCTTTGTACATGAGACTTTACAAGTATTATTTTTTTTAATTTTTTTTAATACTTTTCCATTTGTTGAGAAATCATTGAAGCCCTAAACAATAATACTTTTCAATAATTTCTAATAAATACAACGTATCTTCAAATATCATTCATCGTTGCAATACATTTTCAGGAGGCAGTTTGCAACATAATCCGTTCAAATTTCCTATTTCCTAGTTACTTTTAGTGGTGGTACCACTGCTTACACAATTCGACGTGAGCGGCAGAGAGAGAAACGATTTTAGAGAAAGAAAGACACCAATTGAGCACACCATGTAATCCTTACACCATGATCGCGAGCGCAGGCTGACGTACGGCAAGGGCCTTCCCGTTGCGCCGGGAATAAGCGAGGGCGGCGGCCCTAGGAGTTACGTTGTGAAGGAAGGAAGGACGAGATGTAAACGACCAGCAATCCCGGACCGCAGGTATCGGGGAACAGCGGGGCGGATTGTCGAGTACCGTTTCGCGTTATTTTTGAGAGAGACACGTAGGTTTGCTTGAGAGTTTCCTTACCTACGCGTCATTGTCGTGAATCCCTTGCCGGGATTATCGCTTTTCCGTGTCGTTTCTACGGGTAAGACATAGCCTGCCCGCTGACTCCCCGTAATAATACCGAAGGGGCGTCCGTTTCTTCCCGACTCGACCGGTGTAGTATAAGATTTTGAGTGTAATCGAGTAACGACGAGCGACCCCGTGGCACCGGCTACGCGTCCTGAGTGTGGCGCGTGTTGCGAGATCAAACCTCGCGGATCGGCTCAACAGTCATTAGAGTTAAGTTACCGTTTCGAGCTTTTCGAGATTACCGTTTATGAGTATCGCGTCTATCGATCTGTGTGTAAGATATCTGCGTTTCCGTTAGAGTTAGTTTTCGCGTAGTGAAAGTTTCGTCGTGCAGGCTTTCGTGCGTGTGGTCGTTCTGGGGCGTGTCGGTCTCCGGGATACGTAAATTACCGCGCCCGATACGGGAAGTGTGAGGCGTCGGCCTACCGGACATAGAGTCAGCCGTCTCGAAGAAGGTGTCCGAAATTGACCGCGATTAACGTCCAGAAATTTAGAGTAAGATTTACTCCGGCTGAGAACACCGCACGCCTCGGGCTGAACTAGGCGTGAGTATCACGTGCTCGCGGTGTGGACCGTACGGCGAGTCTTCGTGTTACGTTACGAGAGGTGTTATGCGAGAACTCCTATATTGCGTGTATTGTTTAGTTTGCGAGAAACCTTGAGTTATATTGCGTGTATCGTTTAGTTTGCGAGGAACGTTGAGTTATATTGCGCGTATCGTTTATTTTGCGAGAAATTATTGTGCGCGTATCGTTTATTTTACTCTTTCGTTAGTTAGCGTGGATTATAGCGATTGCGGGTATAATTCCGTCGGCGTATCTTATTACTTTTCGCGTATTTCTTAGCGTAGACTATTTCGTGCGTGTATTCTTTCATCGGCGTATATTATTGCGCTTCGCGTACTTCTATTGCGAGTACCCGTTACTCGTACGTTTTTCCGAGAATATTAGCTCTGCGTCCGAGTTTGTTTATAACGCGCGGACCCTTCGAACGACCTTGCGTGGTCGGGGAATTGCGATGGATCGCGGTGAATACTTCGTTCGCGTCCTGTAAGTTGTACCGCTATTATCACGCTTTCTCTTATATTATATTTTGATTTGCCTGTTACTTGAGTACTTTCTTTTGTGTTTGTTTCGCCTCGCCAAGGTCAAACCCCTCTGCATTCAGCCTATGTAAGGACCACGACCCTCTAACGAAATTCCTGAGCAGTCGTTGCGATCGGCCAGAGCGGATGTGTCATGACGTGTGAATTAAGAGTTGTGTCGATAATTAGAGTTTATGTCGGATCTATGCTGAGTTCATGTAGAGTACTTTTCGCGGGTTAGAGAGACGCGTAGGCTTGCTTGAGAGTTTCCTTGCCTACGCGCCATTTTAGAGTAAACGGTGATGTGGCCGTAACCACACCTGGCGCATAACATTATTTCGTATCGCTTTCGAGATCCGCTCTGTCACCCGATCATATCTTTGCTACGCGCTTTAGTCCCGCCTCCCACCTCGGGGAAAATCATATAGAGAAATTAGCGTCGCAGAACGTTGGAAAAAAAATGCTGTGTGAATCCGACAAACCAAGTTGGCTCACGGTTTTTCAATGTTCATATCAAAAAGACGTTATATATTGCCAGTCACGGTCGATTTAAAGAAATTACTGAATTGTTGTTCTATACTGGCGGAAGAAATTTATTATTCTGTTATTATACACCGTCGACGGAAGAATCGGTGCTCCATCTTATAGTTGTTATTGCGATAAATATTACCACAGCCCCCAGTGGTCGAATTGGGACGGCACCCGCACGGTATACGGGAGGTTCCAGGTTCAAACCCTGGCTGGGGTAATATTTTTCGCAATAAAATTTAAAACTATTTAATTTAGAAATTACATCAACTGACCAAAACCCATGGTCGAAATTAATAATTTCTCGATGATTGATCGGGAAAAAAAAATGCTTTGTGAATCCGACAACCAAGTTGGCTCACGGTTTTTCAATGTTTATATCGAAAAAACGTTATATATTGCCAGTCACGGTCGATTTAATGAAATTACTGAATTGTTGTTCTATCCTGGCGGAAAAAATTTATTATTCTTAAATAATTATAATTAATATAGATAAATAGATAATAGTTATAAGGCTTCCGGTTCCGGAGCGTTAATAGTGACAGGTGTGAGTATAGCAGAGATAAAGTGGTAGCGAAAGTGTGGTTCGGAAAGGGTTGGAGGGGGCGAGAACAGCGGAGCGGGAAAAGGTGGAGGTGTGAGACGGCGGAGGCAAAAGAGTTGAGAGGGGGTGGAGTTGATAAGAAGGTGAAAAGATAAGG